AGAGAGAGAGAGAGAGAGAGAGAGAGAGAGAGAGAGAGAGAGAGAGAGAGAGAGAGAGAGAGAGAGAGAGAGGGCGTCAGACAGTCTGACGACGAGTTTGGTGCGCCGAGTTTTTTGGCTCATGTGATTCCAAGAGTAGCTTGGTACATACTACATACTAATCCAGCCTAAATCCAGAGGAGGACTGGGCATTTCAGATCCATCCTTACAAAATCAGGCATTGGCCATACAATGGATCAAACACCTTATCCTCACCACAGACCCCTCATGGAGAGAACTACCGTCTGCACCCGAAAATAATGCCCAGGCGTTGTATACGAATATAACGCCTGCCCGCCTGGCGTTATATTCGTTTATAACGCCCGGGCGTTATATTCAGTAAATTGGTGGCAACTTCGGTAGGGTTCCAAAATTCCGAAAAAAAAAGAAAAAAAATTGTAAACAAAAATATGTTGTCCAGATTTGCAATGCGACCATCTTTTGGCTGAGGGTCATTACAGAATTCCGTATAAAATCGGGAAAAAAAAAACAAAAAAAAAACAAAAACGAAATATGCCCCTTGGAAGTCAAAACCCCTTTAAAACCCATGTATATCCCCCTCCACGCCCTTTCAAACCCATGTATACTACCTCTACAAGGCACTCTGCCCATGGAACATTCAAATATAACGCCTGGGCGTTATATTCGAAGGGGCGTTCTATTTGAGAAAAAGATAGTAAAAACAAAAATCTGATCTTTTTAGGGTAAGACGCGGTAGTTGAATATAACACCCGGGCGTTATTTTTGTGTGAAGGCGGTAGTACTCGAAGAGATTCGACGATTGGCACCTCAGTCCACTGAGGACATTCACTTCGGGCAGACACAAAAACATGGCCCTACGGGCTCATACAAAACATACATAGCCTCTGGGCACACACACACACAAATATGATACTGGGCTGGGGGGGTCTATCAGGTATATGACGGGGTCTACTCACGCATGGCTTAGCTCTAGGGTAGGGTAGGGATATAAGTCGCTCTGGCTAGTCTGAGTTCCGCCTAGCCTTCGGTAAGTTAGGGGAAGGACGGTAGGATGTGTCCGTGGGTGCTGGCTTGCCTTGCTTAGGTAATCCTGCTGGGTAGACTCTCTGAATTGCGCCTGTAGAAGATGGCATGAGCCTGGCGTCCGAAGTTCCTGTACGGCAAGGTTCGTACGCTTCCACTAGGGCTGGGGGGTTGGCCCATCACTGCTGTCTGGTCCAAGGTACCCTCGATGCTGGTAGGGTGATGGTCCTGAGTGCTGGTCACACTCACACTGAGGTAGGATAGTAGGGACAGGGGGTGCGCTGGGATTATTGACGTGGGGATGGGTAGGGTAGGTGGCCTATCCTGTCAGGACAACCATTGGCTGCCGCTACCAGCAATACCCTGGGCTTTTTTTTAAAAAAGGACATTCACCCTCTCTCTTGGGTTGAGGACTGGCATTGGAGTCTTCCCAGTGCACACTAACACCCTCAAGCACTGGGGGATCGTGGGGCTGCTCGTAGGGATCTAGCCATGGATGCTATGTAACCGTTTGAGAGCGCTTAAGCGCATGACCGCGAGCTTAAGTGTGCGCTCAAACCCCCCCAACAAGCGCTCAAACGCGCTCGATCACGTTTCGGGCACTCGCACATGCCAAAAAATGAGCACGCACGCCTGGCGGGGACGTGCGCGTGGAGGGGCACACATGGGGGCA